CTGTGGTCAGTCTATGATAGCATATTTCTCATTAAAAGGCAGAATTGGTTGCTGTTCTTCCCTGAAAACTGCCTGCATTCTAAAACAGAAATCACTGTGGTAATTTTCTATATTTATTTATATTTTGTATAAATTGTAGTATGTTTCTAATAGAATTTAATGTTCTACTCTAATTGGAAATACTTGGAAGTATTTTTCACAGTAAGAAAACCATGCATGTAAAGCATGATAAACAGGAAGCAATTCCTTCAATAGTCTTAAATAGGACAGTGGACTCTATGCAATAGAAAGGAAAACCAGATGTGGCACCAGCTTTGTATGAATTAGAAGACTTTACTCTTCCTACACATGTGATGGATGAATGAAGTGGCTTCTTTAGGCATTGTAATTTTGGTCTGTTACAAGGGTAGAGACAAAAACTGATTGAGTGCTACTCAAGGATAGTATTTCTGTTTAATTACTTCGATTGTTTATGAAGTATGAGAGTGCCTGTAGTGTCTACGTAGTCTAAGTTTGCATTTCCCATAATTTCACTTTTTACACATTTTATTCAGCGATTCATCTTTTCTTGAATGGTGCTTATCGATCTGACCTGTAAGTTAACAAAGATTCATTTTGGAATAGCAAAGAGATCCATTTATAAATGAAAATGATTTCATGGTACTTATATAGAAAGCTTTTTGAAGTACAGGAAAATTGCCAACATGAAAAAATGTATTAGAAATGCACAAGTGTGTTATGATAAATATAGCACTCAAAGGTGGGGTTAAAGGCTGTGATATAGCTGTGTGCATTCAGATTTATTTGCTGCACAGAAATGAATCCCAAATGGCTATTTTTGCTTCACTGACTGTAATCCCAACAAGGCAGTCTTATAGACATCTGCTAAGGTTTTTGATTATTATTTGGTTAAGATTTTCAGATTGAGGTGAGAAAAATCCAACTGTCACCTAGAAATGACCTCGAGGGGGTTTCACAGATTTGTCCGACATGTTTTTCACAGATTTATACAGAACTTTATATAGTTCTCACTCCAAAGTGCTTCAGACTGCGGCTACTCACATTTTCTGAAAAATAATGGAGTGATGTATGTGGTATACTGTTTAACCATTAGTCGTTCAAGCTTTTTTTCAAAATTGTAAGGGTAAAGACCAAGAGGGGGACAAATGCCTACCAAGTTGTTCTTAGGTAGGCACTGAAAGATACGTCAGTTAATTCACTGTCATATAATGCAAATAATTCCTGATACTAAGTAGCCCCTAATGTTCATAGCCACTGGACTCATTCCCAGTATATTAATAGCAGTCATGAGATTTTGGGAAATACTATAACAATTCATTTCCCAGTGGGATTCTTATCTAAACAAGATCAAGTCTTCATATTTTATTTAGCCAGTGCACTGTTGTAGTGTATCTGAGAATTATCTGTGCTTTTTCTGTTTCTCAGTTAGGAGAAAGAGGAAAGAGCGTGCAGACCAGACAGTGTTTCCATCCATCCTGTTGTTGTGCCATAGTTTTCCAACAGTAATAACATGAAGCAGAAACATTTAGGTTCTCCTTTCTTTTTCATTTAAGTAAATTCATGCTGATAAAATTCTAATGAAAAGGAATCAGAGCATAGGAGCAAGTGACTTATTATGGAAATTTTCTGTGATGCATTGTGATGGTGGATTTTCAATTTTTAAAAGTGGTTACATTCCTAATTGGCGAACAAAAAAGACCAATTTATCCCTTGCTGTGAGAAACATTTTTCTTATATATTATTCTCATGAAGCCTCTAATTCAGCCAAACACATTATGTAAATGGAACCTATGAAATACCTTTTAAAATATACATCAGATTTACATTGCTAGGCTGTTATGTTAGATTGAGCAAGGGCCCTTGTTACACTATCTAGCAAATTTTTTTACTTTCATAATATTCCTTGCTAAAATACATTGTGTTTGGTTCAAGTAAGGCTTCTATTAATAACTCTTGGGGTTATCCTAAATAAGTATTTACTAGCTCCGCCCCAGCGTTATGAATATAATCTCTACATTTTGGTCCTTACTTATCTCAGGAACAAAAGTTTATATCTCTTTTAAGGGTGCTTTCTTTTGAAACAAAATCTACAAATGCTGCAGTGTAGTGACTGTTCTAATGCCAAATTAATTTGGATAAATCTGCATTGCATACAGATTACATTTCTGAAAGCCTTATGACACAGATACCATGAGCTGCAAAATTAACAGACTTAGTTGTGATAGCTAAGGTTGTGTTTCATGATACAGGCAGAATTCAGATTTATATGTAGTTTATATGCATTGCTTGCAAGTCTGATAATGTTCAGATATAGTACAATTTAACATTAATGTTTTTCCTAAAGATACAGTTTAAATGTGTACCTGTATGGCCATGCTCCTTGTGGAGAATATGGTTTGATTTCAAAGAATTGTAATACATTAAGAAGCAAAATTGATATCACAAAATAATTTATGTTAGTAACTAATAGTGGTAGCTCATTTGCATAATGGAGTGCTATTAGTCTTGGTTTCCTACAAGTTTAGGTGGAAGTTTTAATAACACCATTTTCATTTTTGGCCTGTTTTTCAACAATACTCAACCACTGAATTGCTCCTCACACAAAAATTATATTTTGTCTTCAAAATGAAGGTCAGAGAAGTACAACTTTAGATACAAGGAGCTTCCAGTGAAGCTAAAAAGATAGATAGCACAGCAATAAAAATGAGCAATTAACCCTAAAGGAGAGAGATCCTTTAAAGCTATAAGCAAGTTTGATTGTTTTTGGAAGAAATCTTTGAGTTGTTTTTCTTAAGATTACATTGACTGATGAGCCATGGGGACTTCTGCACAGTAAGGACAAAATAACTGCTCCTCCAGGTTTTTCTTTAATGATTTTGGGACCATTTAGAGCTAAAATGATACAGATCAACTTCTCATTTTGCCTTACAGCTGTCTTTAAAATTATTATTTGTTACATTCAGAACAGCAAGTGGGCAACTAATAAGGATTAGTAATGGGGAGGTTTTATTTAATTCAGTTTTTAAGCTTCTTTATTCAACAAAATCCTTAAAACATAGAGATTATATTTTTAGAGATACCAACACACACTGCCATGAATTCTATACTATGTGCAACTCTAAAGCATATTTTCATGGAAGATTAAATGCGTATATACAGTATCTGAAATTATTATTGATTACATTTTGTGCTTGTATTCCCACATTGAGGGCTTGGTGATTTAGTGTTTCAGTGGTTTTCCAAAGCATCGGCTAGCAGGATTTACAGAAGCTGTAACAGTATTGCTAACTCTAATGATTTTATCACAAGTTCTGCTGAATTTGATGTATTTTAATACCTGTCTCACAGAGTATGGTGAATATGTGAGAATTCTGGATTTTATATTTCTATATAATTCTCTTTCCTCCTAGTTGCTGGAAAAAAAAAAAAAAAAAAAAAAAAAAAAAGACATTTAGATGTAGAGCTTAGTGATATGGTTTAGGGGAAGACTTGTTAGTATCAGAGGTTAGAGTAGATGATCTTCCAAACCTAGATGATTCTGAGATTTAAGCTGTTTTTACCCATGTTTGCCCACAGGAGGAAAAAAAAAAAAGTATCTTATTTCAGCATTTGGATGAGAATCTCACCACTCTTTTCAGCTTAATGCATCTCTCTTTCTATTTTTCCATTTTTGATGCTTGAGATTGGTAGTACTCCTCAACTCCTCAAGGAAGGGGTAGGCAAGTGGTATAGTGCAGCACAGAGCACATGACTTTATCAAAGAGGTTATAGTCATTACTTTCACAGAATCATAGAATCACAGAATGGTTTGGGTTGGAAGGGACCTTGAAGACCATCAACATGTAGTTCCAAACCCCCTGCCATGGGCAGGGACACCACCCACTAGATCAGGTTCCCCAAAGCCTCATCTAGCCTGGCCTTCCACCTTTGGAATTGACAGGTAAAGTTTGTGTACCCACAGTTAGCTGAAGTTAACATATAGAAAACCATAGGCTTATCACTATTTTCTGCATGTAATATTCACTATATTGTTCACTATACATGAATACTCATTCGGAGAAGGATTTTGTAAGCTGCTGCCCCTCCTTGTTGAGGCCACTGCTGGGGGGTTTCAAGCTCAGGAGTAAAACTGTTTTTCCTCAGTTGTCCCAAGTGTTCTTTTTCTGCATTTCTGCAAGCAGCATCCTGTCAAGCTTGGGATACCCATATTTAGTTGTTTCCGTGTAAGCATCTGCATGTGTGGTGGGTGTTTGCTCGCATTATCATCAGTGGATTTTTCATCAGACAACAGAGTCAAGTGGGTGATTCAGTTCAGCCCAAAGCAGATAGCTGGTGGCTGATCAGCTCCAGGCTCCACTGAGTGCATTTACTATAGTGGGAATTTCTCACTTAGCATGCAGATAGATACTTATATATAGCACTGAAGTTTAGTACATCTTGTTCCCAATTGAATCCCATACCTCTCTCCGAGAAGCTGAATTATTTTGCTCATTTTCAGTAAGGAAGTGTTCTCTCTGTGCAGTTCCAGTGGCTGATTTGAGAGGCTGAAGGCACAGGGTGGTCTTCACAAAATCCAGTTTACCTTTGGCTGGTCACATTTCTATCTAATCCCACCTAGCTTCTATTTGATGTTTTACCATATATGATCTTACCTCACCTCATACAGAGGATTTCTGTTCCTAACGTATTTTCCTCTGGTTTAGGTTCCAGTTTTCAGTACAGTAAACAGTGCCAGTTTCAAGTTTCAGTAAAAACTTGTTTCCTGTACCTTAAAACTGTTTCATGTTAGAAGCCATCTCTGTTTAAAAGTGCTGCAGTATGCCAGGCAAAATTATGGCTTTATGTAGACACTAGTCTTGTCTACTACTAAGGAAAAATTATTACAAAATTCAAAGTTTGATATGAGGATTTTTGTGGACTTTGGTCCACAGTATACATGGTAAAGTACTCATTCATTTTCACTGTTTTGTTTTTAACAGGAGTCCTGTGCTTGTGTTCCAGTGCATGCATCGCCATGTCATTTGCCTAGACTGTTTCCATTTGTACTGTGTGACTATGCTGAATGACCGTCAATTCATCCATGACCTGGAGCTTGGCTACTCCCTCCCTTGTGTAGGTATGTCTTAGTGGGTTTTCTTTTCAAAAAAAAATAATCATATATATATATATGATTTTGATCTTCTTTTTTTAATTGCTAATTAATTTCAGTATACCTATGGAGTTACACTTTCCAAAGGAATTGTTTCATTTCATGGAGGAAATATTTGAATATTGAAGTGGTTCTTGCTGAGCATGTGAACTGGAATATTAACTGGATTCCAAAGGGCATTTCTTTTAAAAGCAAATGCAGATATTTTATATGTATATATATATATATATATATAAGTGTTTTATAATTGTGAAGTGCTAACAGAAGATAGCATTACACTACTGGTTTAAAAAATAAAAATAAAAAAATCCTTGACCCGCACATCTCCACTTCTGAGTGAAATAAGATGTTAACTTTCTTGGCCTGTCTTCAAGAGCTAACAACAAAAAAAAAAAAGACTGCAATAGGAATTTCAAATAGCCTTCCTGTTGATGAAGTTATTGCTACTAATTGTCACTGCATTGAACAAAATGTAGATCACCCAGTAAAGGTGGTAGATAACCTGTTTTAACTGAATAGGAAACGTTTGGCATAAGTAAACAAAGACTATGAATCTGGAAGATGTGTTTTGAGAATCGATTCCATTACATTGGCTCATGGACTGCAAAACTCTCAAAAATTTTACTTTGAAGAAGTATATTAGAATTTATTTTTCCTGTTGCTATATTTTCTTACATACATATATATTTGCAATAAGTTCTATGTGGAGCTATAAGAATCATTTTCCAACATATTAGAAGCTGCATAGATGACAACTGCCTGGATGCCTGAGTAGCTGACAGGTAACTTTCAAATCACTACATGGGAGAAAAATTGTCAGTATTTCTTAGGAGTGGCATTTACTCATAGTGAGAGCATGCCTTAAGGATGTTGTAAGTATACTAATAAGAGCCATTAAAATTATTTATTATTAATAACGTCAAGAGTGATCTACTTGTATCAGTGGTCATCAAATCACATTTCACTAGAATTACTGTTTATGTGCTGTTTACTTGCCAGATTTACTTCCATCCCTCCTCAAACGCAACTTGCTCTGCTACTGCATGTACACACTGATGTGTGTTGATTTTTAGTATTGTGTAAGAAAACTTGTAATGGAGAACCTAACAAGAACTTTCTACCCAGTGCTCTTTCATTCACCATTACTGTAGCATCATGTGGTCAGTGTGGTCACTAAGTCGGTACCGTAGATAGGGTTCAGCTGCCAACCTAGTCTCAGGTATGTTATACTTTGTATTAAAATAACTGAGCATGGAAATGCTAAAGTATTGCTAATCTTCACATTTCAGAAATCCCCAAATGAAAAAACTGTTTTCCAAATAATATAAATAGAATAATAAAGTAGTTGTCATAGTGGTAGTTGTTGTAGTAATTGTAGTAAGAATAAGAATAATACAAGTGCTATACGTTTTGTCTGCATTCTCTAGCTAGTATGAATATTACTTTGAAAACTGCCTGATGAGGTGCTGCCCTATGCCAATGAGTTGTGCTCCAGTGCAATGTAGTACAGAGATTCTTGAGTCAGAGAATTGTAATGCTGAAGGAAAAGAAATATAGTTATGTCAATATAGCATGTAGGACAGGCTTTTTGACACTGTTGGTAAACCGATGTGGACTGTCCAGGCAAATAGCTACTTCAGGACCCATGCTAGCATTGCTGCACAGTGTTTTTGGTACTGTCCAGGCATACCTGCTTGCACCAGAGCCAGCCTGCTGATCTCTAAGAAGCATTGACATAATGTTGTGCTGACACACTTTGTGTTACAGAGGTTCTCGGTCACAATCTGTGAAAACTCAGCAGTTTTAAATATTATTCCATCTAAACCTAAAATTGATTGCTACCTCTGTCAGTTCTCTTTGTTGTGTTATCAGGTCTGCATCAGTAAAAGCATTTCTAAGCATTATCTTTCAGACTGCATTGCAGCCTGAAGAGTCTGATTGGTGCTGTTATGATTTTACTGCTTCCTTTTTGTAGCTACCTTTAACCTGACTTGCTGGTGTGCAAGAGGTTTGGTTGTTTCTAGAGTTAGGTTTTATTTGAGTTAGGAACTGATGACAAAGTTATCCTTTGTCATGTGAGAAAGACGGGAGGCTGAGTTCCCCCACACCTGTGAAGAAGAAAGCTTGCGCTACCAGTCCCAGTGCTCTTACTGCTCCACTACAAATCAGTTTACCCTCCTTCATAGCTATGGATTCAGCAGCTTTCATCACTAGTGTATTCAATTAAGAAATATTCAGAATAGTATCATGTGATTTTCTTTTCTACCTATCATGGCACTCCTACCGAATAGTGTAAGATTCAGTTTTGCAATCTACAGTTCACAATCTTTGTTTTTGTAACTGCAATTTGCAGTTTGTATCTACATGTGAGGAAGATAAAGCAGTGTTTGACACAGCCTGCTCTAATTACCTCAGTGAAGCCTAAAATTATTTCCTCTTGATAGGAATGAATACCATGGGACATTGCCAAGAAATTACTTTTCTTTCTTATTGTGGCAATGTTGGTTTAATACATGTTATCTCTAACAGTGCTTGACTCAAAGCGAAATATATTTGATCTGAGCTTTATTGAAAGGTTGGATCTTGATTTAAGCCTGCTTGTAAAAGGAATACAAAACAGAGTTGTGTTTACTGTAATGAGCTTTATGTTGCAGTAGGCAACCAGGTGACACAGACCGATCAAAATCTTAGTCTGTATTAATTCATATATTTTTAAACCTTACAAACTAATGTCGAAGTGGTATTCATGGTGTCTTGAGCAGAAAATACTAGTATTCTGGGTCTGTATGTTGTAAAAGTCATTTCAGTTTTCTGTTTTCATATAATAATTAATTTACTTAAAATCTAGCCCATTTTTTCAAGGCATATGTGCACACATTGCCCTAGAACTGTAGAAGGTTTAGTTTTGTAATTAAGCCTATTTAAATTTTTTGCACTTCCAATTAGTTGTGTTCATTCTAGTGTTTTTGAAAAATAGAGATAACATAATGAACATAGCCTGCAGTTTCCATTAACATTTGACTCACTGTTCCCAATTTTTATCAAGGGAATGTACCAACATAGCAAGATTTTTATATCTTTTATTGGATCAATCTAGAGGTGAAAGCACCACACACACACCAGAATAAAAATAAACAACAGCTGCTACAGCAAAGGGTCACTATGACAGACAAGATCAGTGTTATCACATATGTATGATAACTTGTGCTGGAAACGATTTAGGGATTGCACTTGAATAGTGCTTCTCAAGTACGTTTAATATCTTGCTTCCTGGCACATATATGCCAGAAGGTGCATTTTTTAATTGTGTTCAGGTATTCTGTAGGGTTCTACCCTTGCTTTTCTCCCTTTTTTTTTCTTTTTTTTTTCTTTTTGTCTCTTATTCACCCTAATCATGTAGAAGACAATATGTGTTCAGAAGGCTATCCCATCTGATGAGCTATGGTATATCACCTTGATAATGCCATAACATTGCTACATTCCTATACAAAATGTGTCATTGCTGAGATTTTTGGACAAAGAACAAAATTCTTAATTCCTTAGTGTTTAGCTGCTAATCTAGTGCCCGGCAGTGCTACTCCAGCTGAGAATAGCCAGCATGGGAGAACTACAGCTCTGAGCACAGTAACTCTGGTGCATTGATAGGATTAGTTGCTCAGAAAATTGTGGTAGCAGCCCCATGGTTCAAACCCACTGTATCAGCTCAGAGAAAGGATTTATGGATAGAAGCTGGCTCTATTTCATCGGTCATTAGAATAAAAAAGTAAACGTTACAGATTATACTCTCTCTGCCCTTGTTAAATGCCAACAAAAATCTATCCCATCTCACTGTGTGGTGTCTTGTATTAATGAGGCTTCATGCATAGAAATTTCCATGAGTTGTGACCTCCAAGTATCTTTGAAATAATTAATAAGGTGCTTAGAGGAACAGATTTGCATATGCATGAAAGATCATTTATGGTTATTTAGTTACTGTGCAGGGCAAAGAATCTCATAGTATTGCCTCAAAGCAGGAATTGTATACAAATATACAATGTATTACCCCATTGTATTACACATACTGTTCGTATGATCACTGTTTCATTTTTAAAATAGCATTATGGCATTAGGGGTCTTAGTCCCCAGGGTAAAATAAACTTCCGTGGATCTCTGGGAGAAGGAAAGTTGGCGAGGCCAAGGAAAGGACAAGGTTTTGCACTGCTGTAGGCACTTTACTAAAATGTCTTTGCATCAGTTTATTTCTTATGAGTAATCATATGCATTATGTATTTTAAATGAATCTGGATAAAAGATGCAGATCTCCTGATGACTGTAAAGCACTATTGTATCTGGAAGTAATCTCATTTTACCACATATATATAATTAAATGAGTAAAATTACCACCAATAGCTTTAAAGTATAACAAAATGTTTAAAGAGCCACATTCCATTGGAAGAAAGTTGCTGGGAAAGGATAAAAGAGGCATATGTTTTAAGATTATTTTTTTATCCCCATTAGATTCTATTTGTATATTAACAGGGATGTTTCTATTCCTGTGCAGGACATCAAAGCAATGATGAATCTCTGAATCATCTTTCAAAATTGTAGTACCCAAAAAGAAAAGGGGAGAATAAACAGATAGTCAAAGCAAAGTTTGCAAGTAAAAGGAAGGAGGAAAGCCACATTTGATTTGATTGCTCCAATTAGTGTGTTTGAGTCTTTTTTGCTATAGACAAAATCCCTAATACATTTAGGAAGGTGTGTGTGTTCCTGTGCAAGGGATTTTAAAGTGGCAGTCAGTGATCTACAAACAGAGCCTTCTCAGTGAAGGAGGTGAGGAGGTAAACAGTGGGTCTAAAATCAGAGTGCAGCAGTCAGCACAAGAAGCAAAATTTACCTGGTATGAAACCTTGATACAGGAACAGTTTCTGCAATCTGTGTTCTCCTGCTTAAAAAGTATTTCAAGCAATGTAGGAAATGGCATTTTA